TCATAAGTTGGACAGATGATGAAGTAGAGTTGTGGTAAAGATTTCTCCAAATAAACCAACCTTAAATCGTGAGCCAATGGAAGAGAACTTTGATTGTTTTGAAGATTCCTCGGGAGAAGGAGGAAATAAACCTGATACAAAGGGGCATTTTGAAGCATAAAGAAGTGCCTGGTCCTCTGCAACAACATAATCTTTGTTCTTGTCGAGGAAAAATTCAGTTTGATAAGTGACCTACAAATGACACGGATTAAATTATATGCAGCTTTCCGGACATGTACTTCTACTAAAAATGTATCCTATTTATTTACTAATTATATCTGGAAGAAAAAGTAACAATTTCCCCAACTTACATCTCCAGCATAATGGCAAATTGTAAAGTCACTACGTGATAATTTAGGCTTGCTAAACCTTTTATGGTTTTTGAAGGTCTGGTAAAGCTTTTGGGCAAAAGTTTCATGTGTAGATCTAGGAAACATAATGCAAAGAAAAAAAACATAGTTATCAGAGCATCAATATAATAGTCCATAGAATATGTTCGCTATCAGTATAAAATATACCAAGCTTCATCCAGAAGAGCAATAATGCCACCAGGTTTCTGAAAATGAATACGAGATCATTAGAGTCAAAATAAATTTCTATTGTAAATAATATGTTTACAAATGGCAAACTACACAAAGACAACTATGATATTGTTGTGCTAACAGAAATAATGGCAAAATAATACATTGATAATGTACATGATATTTTTCTATTTAAGGGAAGGGATTTGTGTGCACTCAACCAACAATTATCATTTCAAGATCATCGTCAGATATCCTTCTTTTAATTCATTAAAAAATTCAACCTAGTAGCTAAACAAACAGAAGAATCACAACTTCGATGTTTTCATTCATTTAAACCCATAAACAAAATAGATTGTCCCTTTTCATGTCTCTCATTTGCTTTCAGAGTAAATTTTCAAGCTACTTCTTTTCAAGTCAACTGATTTTCAAACATTTCCCTCATTTAGTGCTTCTTTCTTTTGTAACCTTGATTTATATGTCCACTCACTGATGCAATATTTTAATCTCCACAACAATTAGATTATGCTCCACAAACATATTAGTTAGGTGTGCAACAGTTTGGACACCAGCCTTTAAGACTTGCAGCATTATGTATAATAATATTGTTTTAACAAGGGAAGAATGCTATTGCATCACTATACAAGTCGCAAACTAATTAGGTTAGCTTTACAACTTGTATCAATCATATTAGGTTAGATATACAAGAATGCTATTGCATTATGTATAATAATAATAATAATTAGGTTTTTTTCTAAAATTGAGTGTACTGTTTAAGGACACTTCAATCAATAACACCGCCTAAATCATTTCATCCACTCAAATTGACTCCTGAGGTTTATGTCTCTCATTTTTATGCCACTTTGAATGATAGATCTGAGGAAACTAAATCGAGCAACCTATGTTATGTTATGATACTTTATTTTCACTTAAGCTATTACTAGAGTATACTTTACTGAACTGATATTTGATGTTATTCAATTTAACTACTGTTTAGAATGAAGCAAACAATTCAGTAACAGAAACATCAAAGACGCTTTCCAGGCAAAAACTCAAGATGCTTCAACCAATGAAAATGCATTACTGCATCATCTTTCCATAAGCCAATTTTAGCAATTACATCTCTGCTCACAACCACATTTAATATATAATTTTTAACAGAAATGAATATATCCTGTACAAACCTGATTAAAATGTTGTTGAAGCTTTTCATTGGTCAAATTAATACAAAATTTCTCAAAACTGCAAATACAAATAACAACCAGGCATAACATACAAAATCAGCATCTTTACAGTAAAAAAAAGGTAGAACTACAAAGGAATGACCTTACATCAAAATGTAGTTTAATATCAAACCAAAATAACAAATGGATATATCACAAGCCTTCTTGGTACATACCAAGTTTATAATGAGCTAAGGATGTACTAAATGATATGACAAATTCAATCTAGCATCTCATAATATGACAACTAGTTAGTGGAGGAGGCCATCATTGAATCCCAAATAATCTATAAGTTTATTGTTGCAATTGCAAGTGTTCACATGAAGACTCACCCATGTTAATTACACAACAAAAGGTGTGCCAGTTACAAACCTGTTAGCCTTGAAACTCTCAAAGCCATAAATATCCAGCACACCAATTAAGGATTTTGATTTAGGGTCTTGACCAATAGAATTATTAATTTTATCAACCAACCTACAAAATCAAGACAAAAATTTAAAGAAACAAAGATTAACACTTGGAGCAAACTGGCCAAACTTGGAAACTGTAACCGAGGTTCAAAAAACATATTTTTAAGCAATCTGCTACAGGCTTACCATTCAAACAATCTTGAGTACACAATCTTTGCCAAGGCATCTCGGCTGAGCGCAGTAGCTTCTGGATCCAGCCATTTTGTAATTGTTTCGTCTCGAGTATATTACACGTTTGCAAAGAAAATCTTCAAGTGCTTTTGCATCACACCTAAATAAAAGTTATGAGCCAAGGTGGAAAAGATAAAATGCAAACCTAGAAACAATGCAAGCGCAAAATGCTTTCTCACATGAAAAGGTCAGCAGCATTCTGTAGATGGAACCAATATTTTTCATCTTTGGGGTTAGGTCGAGGTTAGGGTTCGAGGTCACTGGGGTTGAGCTAGGGTTCGAGGTCACTGGGGGTTGAGGTATGGTTCGAGGTCGTCGGAGTTGGATTTGGGTTTGTCTTGAGATTGGGGTTCGATGCCGCCGGAGTTAGGTTTGGGCCTCCAGTTCGTCGACCTTCAGGCTGGGGTTAAGCTTGAACAACTGTTGCGCGAAGAAGATGAAGAAATTTGGGAAGCTACGAAGATGTCAAGAGCGCCAAGAAGAAAATGAAAATTTTCGAGGAAGAAGTAGCGCAAAGAGATAAATTTCGGAAGGTAATACTGAAATAATTACATAAATTAAAATTAAATTAATTAAAAAAATAAAATTAAATAATAAAGTGACTGAAATAGTAACTGATTTTATGTGACCGAAAATTCGGTTACTATTTCAGTTTATAAACTAAAAATAATAATTTGGTTACTAATTCAGTCATTGATAGTAACTGAAATTTTCAGTCACTGATTTCGGTTACTATTTAACATTTTTTTAGTAGTGTCAGTCACTAAATAATTTTCTTTATTTTAGTATGGAATACTCACCAATTTAGCAGTTGAAATTTTACGACGCAAACTATTGGTCGTTATTTCGGTCGCTAAATAAAAAAGTGAAACTAAATCATATTTCGGTGGTAAAATTCATCGCTAATTGAGACCAAATTATATCGATTGCTAAATCCGTTGCTAAATTGCGATCGAATTAAATCGGTCGCTATTTGAGACCGAAAAAATTCGGTCGCTAATTTCGGTGATTAAAAGTATTTTATCTTATAATGTTGGACATGAGATTTATGGCTCTTTCAGCTTTGTGGGGACAGTTCTTGGAGAAGTGTCCTTTCTTTTTGCAGATAAAGCATCTTTGACCTTTTCCTCTAAACTTTTTCTTTTTGAAGAATTTAAAATTCTTCTTCTTCTTGAGGTTATTGGCTTTTCCATCTTTCCTTCTTGTAGTTGCCGGAATAAGGCTTCTTGCATTTGATCTCATTACTTTTGACAGACTTTGTTGAACTTACTTTTTTGAGTCATGATGTTAAAAAGGAATTCGTGTTGTGTGCAAAGTTTGTCAACTGCTTCTAGGGTCATCTGATAGATTTGACCCATAGTCAAGGTGGTGAAGTCCTTCTGGATAGTCATTGTCATCCTGTTCAGTTCTGGTTGTAGCTCAGTAGGAAGGGATGTGACATAGATGTTCTTTAGGCTGGGATCATTGACTCCATTGAGATGGTAGTACCTCTTGCTCATTCGCTGATAGTGTTTCTCCAGGTCTTTGATCTTGACTGAGCACCATCTCATTTTGAAGAACTCTTTCCTAAGCTTCTTGTCGATTATCGAGTCATCTCCTATAAATTCTTCATGCAAGGCTCTAAGTAATGTTGAGGTTTGTCCCAATTCATGGAATTGGTTCTACCGGGCAACTTTGAGGTTATGATACCATTCTTTGAGAGTTCCAATCATTCTACAACAGAATTCTTCTATGAACTTATAGGGGTCAGAGTCTTTGACTAGCTTGGTGTCTAACCAAACTCTAAATTTGATCAACCTCGCTCTCCATTGGCTTGGAAGGATGTCATCAATAGTGAACCAGGGTCCACCATTCGGCTTTGAAGAAGTATTTGTCCTAGTAAGACCAAAGTTGACTTCTTCATCAGGAGAGTCGTAGATGGGTTCCTGCCTGACTTCTAATCGGGAGGTGTTGGTCATCAGGATTTGAGTTAGGTCTTCAAAATTTGAAACTTCTATTTCTGACTATTCAAAGGAATACCTTTCAACAATTGTAGGATTTGTAGAAGTATACATAAGAGTTGGAGTTGTAGAAGTATCTGCAAAGGTTGGAGTTAGACAAGGCTCTATAGCCATTTGAGAGTATGAATTTTGAGACTCTTGGAAGATCGGGTCATACGGGTCTTATTTTTCCGGTGAAGGTTGTGACACCTTTAATACCAACATTCACTTTATTATGATTTATTAATTATTATTGGTTCCTTTTAGTATTTGATTACCAATACACTTTTGTAGAAGTAAAGTACACAATAATTAGAACATACACTTAGTGATTAATATACATATCATTCATAAGTGTCAAGTATAACTAGATAGTAAATATACATAAAGTCATCCCAAAATACACCTAAGAAGGGTTCACAATACCAGAGTAAACAAACTAATTAGACAAACTAATTATACAACCTAACTAAAGAGGAGATATATTCTGTACGTCCACTAAAATGAAGTATCTCTTGTAGCACTCGTAGTGGTGTCCGATCAAGTCTTCTACTTAGTACTTGCAGTGATCGTATTTAAACTTTACTTGGAGATGATACCGGGGATGAGTTGTGTTCAACGTCACCTATGCAAACATTTCATAATAACAATACATGCACGTAAAGGGTAAGACAACTTTATATTCACTTAGAGCATGCAAATAACATTGGGTTAATTAGAAATTACATATACAAACATACTAGTAATCAAGCACACAAATGATATGATATTATGAATGCAATGTATTCACTAATCTTTTCTAGGACACATCCTAGTATGCAAGACCATGGGGATCCCAAAACCACTTTCTCTTTTCTTTTCTTTTTTCTTTTCGAGAAGGATCGGGAGTTTCACTCGGAATCTCTCACCGCCTTGCAGTAGTATACTCATAATTACTTGTCCAACTCAACTGATCATGAGAAACCCCGGGGCTTTAGTCGGGATAATCAAGCTTGGTAGTGAGAGTCTCACAGCTTAGGTAGCGAGCTCGAGCCACATATGAGCTCGATCACACTCAATCATCCCCGAGGTTAGCATGGAACCGACCCCGATTTTCCATATCCTCCTCATACACTCAATCTCCGACTCATGAACATGATGCATGACTTATCATAACTTCTTCACACTCTTTCAAATTTGTTTCACCTCATTATACTTAAATCACATCTTAACTTCTTCAAAATAATACTAGGTTATTTCTTAAGAAAAATCGACGAGTTTCCCCGTAAATCGGACATTCCCAAAATTTTTAACACCTGTAAAATAACCAAAAACAGCCCGTAACACTTCTACTTTTCACCAAACCATCCTTCCACCTCATCATATTCATCATCACTCAAAATCATAATTTTCTCAATTTTAATTTATTTTTCTTAAATAATAGTAATAATTGCAAATAATTTCCTCAAAATTATTAAAAATTCATTTTCACTTACAATTACTTGTTTTCTCCTAGATCAAAATTATTCCAATACTTTTGAAAAATATTTATTAATTAAATAAAAATATAAAAATTCACTTCATAATTAAATTATAAAATTCAATTTAATATATAAAAAAAATAGTTTTCTTTCTCACATAGTTCATTTCTCACACCTTTCCTCCATTCCACCAAATTATACAATGCAATTCTATATGCTAATCCATCTTAACAAAAACATTGCACAATAATTTTCTACTTATCATGCTTCATAACATACATACAATATATCTCAATAATCAATTTAAAGCAATTATCGAATACTAAACATAGAAATAAGCTAATTCTCAATCTAAATTCATCAATAAATCATATAAAATTACTAATGATTAAGCAATCGATTCAAACAACATTCATGGATGCCTTATAATCATACAAGGTTCCATACACTCAAGTTGCTCCATTTAGAAGCCATAAATTTCACATAATCTTAAAACTTTAAAAATTCATCAAAAATAGAAATGATATTCAAATAATTCCAAATAAATTTCTAATTAACTTAGAAGTAAGGGACTTCTTCTCAATGCTATTTCAAGCAAAAATGAATTATAAAAGTTATCCTACCCCTTACCTTATGTTGTAACTTGGTGAAGAGTAACTCTTGATCAAATAATCTATCAAGTCTTTGAGTCTCCTCTTTGCACCTCTAAGTAGTCTCCTACATACCAATTAAATACCCCAATTAAATCCTTAATTCCAACCATATTAGACCTCTAAAATCTCACCTCCTTCATAGCCTAAAATTCTAAAATTCAAGACTATGGTTCTTTGAGTTATAAAATCATTTTTAGGGCCTAAATTGATGCTAATGGAATTAATACAAGTAGAAGAGAGTAATGGAAGTAATACACTTAGAGTAGGAAGAATCCTAATAACAAATATGGACAAGGTTCAGTATTTCAGAATTTTCTAGAGTTATATAAACTGTTTTGGCATGAGGTAAGAGCCAAAATTTCAATAACTTAATTACCTACAATATTGATGAAGGAAATAAATTCAAATACCTTGTAGAATAAATGCAGTTTTTCAGTTTACAGTGGTTGTTTCCCAACATGGCTCAACCACAATAACACTCTGAACATGCCTTGGTAATTTGACTATAACTCATGCTACACATAAGGTATTGACATGAAACAAATTTCTAAATTTCGGAAATATAATTTCCTACAACTTTTATGAAGGAATCAAGTCCTAATTTCACACGTATCAATCCCAGTAATTCAAAAACCGAGGCTGTTGAAACAGGGCAACCTCTTAACTTCACAGCTATAGCACTTGACAGTAAAATGAACATAACTTGAGCTACAAATATCCGTTTGATGTGAAACAAGTTTCTAAATTTCTATAACTTAAAGGGCTACAACTTTCATGAAGATACCAATTCCTAATTCTGTTCACAAACGTCCCAAAATTCAATAAACAGTGACCTACGAATTAGGGTTCTTAAGCTTTTTAGTTTAACCACTTCTAATCCTCAATTCTAAGCATTATTCTAGTATCCTAGGTATAAAACCTACAATAATACTCTTTCTACTCCCATTCAAGCTTAGCCAAATGAGGAAAAAATTGAAATTGCACCGTTTTGAAAAATAAAACCGTAGAAATGTAGAGAAGATTGAGAGAAACAAACTTACCTCTTGGAGCTTCTCAAGAAAATCAATATTTTCCCTTCAAAATTAAGCTTCAAATTGAGGAGGGTTTGAGAGAAAGTGAGAAAATGGGAGAAG